TGCATGTTCAGCTCACCTTGCCCTTTTAGACTCAACCACCTTAAGAAATATTAGGAGTGCACAGAGTACAGCTATATCTAACGGTCTCCTTTCTTTAATAATTTATTAATTTTTAGTTTTAAATATTGTGGTGTGCCGCCAAAAAATGAGAGAAGACACGTTCACTGATAGGCAACGGCTGAGATAAGATTGCATACTTAACTGGAAACGCAATACCAGCAGACCGTTGCTTAGGAATAGCTCAAACAACAAATATTTTTCCCCGGAAATGGAAGCATATCCATGGAAACGAATGATACCACAGGATAAAACCGAACCCTTGAACACGATGTTCACTAGTCAGTCCGAGCGCACTTCATAAAAGTCCAGCTTCGACGAGACCAGTGAGTTTTAGTGTAGCTCCGACTACAGCAGAAGCAAGTTCGCATTCGACAAAAAAGAGAAGACTTCAGCAGGAGCAGCGGTGCAAGTAATTATGATAATGAAGTTGAGAATAATTGTACTTGCGAGTCTAAAAGCGATTGTCTTAGCCAAATCCGAGACCCGGGTGGATTTATTTGCTGCGTTACATAGGCAATGCGTGACAATATTGTTATGTAAATGTAAATAACTATTCAAGAGGAAATTAAGAGGCGATTGAGCTCGGGTAATGCTTGCTACAATTCAGTCCAGAACCTTTTGTCTTCTCGTCTACTGTTCTTTTAATATATTATTAATGACTTATGTAACTAATCGATCAAATTGTCTTATTTTACTGCTGACTTTAAAACTCCATCGAGCTATTACCTCATCTCGGACCGCCTATGTGGTCAAGAATTTTCTGTTCTCCACGTCTTCTAGGCAGGCTCCGGAGTCCAGCTAACCTCCTATGCAATGGATATCGGGAGCCCTTTCCCCGGGGGTAAAGTGGCCAGGGCGTAAAGCTGACCACTCACATCAAAGTAGTGTCCAGGTCAAGAAAATGTGGATCTATACCTCCACTACCCCATATGCCTTCATGGCATAGTGCCTAATTAGTTAAGAACAGGGACAACTTTATTTTTTTACCTAATGTTCCAGCCGTCCGCACTATGGCCTTGAGGTCGACTCAGCCTCTAAAAGAAATGAGTACCATGAATCTTCCTGAGGAGAAAGGGTGGCCGGTGCGTAAGGCTGACAACCTCACCGCCACCTCTGAGCTGACTGTCTAGAAAATGTGGGAGCCTCGATGTCTAACAACCCTATGGGCCTCCAAGGCCTGTTACAGGGATAGCTCTGCCTTAGCGTTAGATTTTATTACGTACTTCAACCACCTACTTGTTATAAATGTTCGCAAGAATTCTAACAAAAACAACTTATTATTATTATCATTATTAGGGGGTACGTAGTAGCGTAGTTGGTCGAGGCACTATGCTACAAGCCGGAAGGTCGCTGGTTCAGTCCCGATGAGGTCATTGGATTTTTTCAATTGACCTAATCCTTCCAGCCGCACTACGGCCCTGGGGTTGACTCAGCCTCTAACAGAAATGAGTACCAGGAATCAATTAAATAATTTCCTTGGGAGTAAAACGCGGCCGGCGCGTAAGGCTGACAACCTTATCGCCATCTTTGAGCCGATTGTCTGGATAGTGTGGGACCCTCAACGTCTCAGAACCCTACGGGCCTTCACGGCCTGTTACAGGGATAGCTTTACTTATTATTATTATTATTATTATTCAAATTATAACTCTAATGATATTCCGTCTGTTGATGATCCTGAAGCTGATAATCACATAGTAACTGCTACGTTTAGAATCACATGTTGATATTGTACGTGGATGTGCTTTAAAATAATTTTATAAAGCCTAGCTTTAGTAAAATTATTTCTTTCAACATAAAAAGAAATAACAAGTAATGAATAGACTCTTGGTAGGTTTTCTTTGTTTAGAAAAGACTATACTAAAGGTATAAAGTATATATTGACAGTGAAATTTACTGCCGTCATAACGTTGGCTTTGTTTTTCCACGCGCCTGAAATTTGTGTGGGTAGTTCGTACTTTTACGTGGCCAAGAGCAGGGAGCTTATTGATCAGATCTATGTATATGCCTCTGTCACATGGCGCTCTGTGTTACTATGTCTAATAAAGGTGAGGGCAGAGCTTATGAAGAATGTTTGCCCTCCGCTACAACAGACTTCCTCGTTACATTCAGTATCAATATGTTACTTTATTGCAAGTATTTAATCTTCAGATACGAAACATCCGCCGTCTCATGCCCGATGATTGTCTACAATGGCACTAAATCCTGGTCCTCCTGTTCTATGACACGTCAGTATTAGCGATCTTGTGTATGTTCAGTTTCTTCCCCAGGTATTCCCCTGCAGCTAGATGCACTGCTAATGCAGTTCGTAATTCATGTTTTCTTTTAATATTGGATTTTAATTTAAAAGATTCTGGCTGCTAACAATAGTTTTTCTTTGTTTTTGTACGCATGGTGATTTTAAATTGACTACTATGGCACTGATTCGCAAAGTGACGAGCTCAATTATTATTTCAGTTGGGTTACGCTGTGACATAGAATTACATAAAACCTGCTGAATTATTAACTAGTTATGAATACTTATTATTTGTAACTGTAATGTACTACAATTCTCAGAAATATTATTTTCTTTGTATTTTTTATTCATGTGTTTCTTCAAAATCAGATGAGGAAATATGAAACTGTGAACATCTGGAGTTCGTAACGATAGAGATACGGGACGTATCAATTGCTGGTTTATGTTGATGATGTGAATTTATCATAAAGAAAAACAGACGAACTTTAATTGACGCCAATAGGGAGGCTTGTCCAATAGTAAACACAGAGAAAAATAATTATATTGTAACGGATTTGATCAACGCGTTGCCAGGCAACAGATCTGTAAACATTTTCCAACACGCAACAATAGAGGACGCTGTGTTTTCTGTAGATTCGACCGACGAGCAAAGAGACTGGCTGGATAGCGATCAAGTGATATGTGTTTATCGTAGTTCCATGTCCGTTCTCCGGGTACATAAGTAAGACTGATAGGATTCGTTGAAGGCAGTTACAAGTGAGTAATAGCGGCAGAAGCATGCAACAAGCAAGCAGTAAGCTCGAGGAGTACAGAAGAGTACAAGAAGCCAGCCTGAGAAGACTTAAAGTGTGATTTGAAGATTTTATTTATGTGTAATATTTGGACTTTTTTAATTCAGTGACTGTTATACTTCCTGTGTTATAAATCAGTTACGACTAGTGTAGATAGACGGAAAAGTTTAGTGTGGAGTAATTGTAAATTGTGTAAAGCAGTAATAACGAATGAATTAATTGTAGTTACGACTTATAAGCTGTTAATAAATAGAGTTAACAATCCGAACTCCTTTTTAGTAACTGTGGCACGTGACAATATGTTGCTGTCTCGTCACCAGAATGAAGGGTAAAAACATGGCATAAAGATTGGAAACAGATGTTTTGAAAATGTGGCACAGTTCATGTATTTGGAAACGACTGTAACAAAGCAAAACCTGGTTCAGGAGGAAATTAAGCTAAACTGGATTCGAGTAATGCTTGCTACCATTCAGTCCAGAATCTTTTGTCTTCTTGTCTGCTGTCCAAAAACATAAAAATTAGAATACACATAAACTATATTTTGGTTGGATGTTTGGTGTGTGTATGCGTTTATTCTGTGTTTGTGTTGTCCTGTGTTTAGGTAGGGGCCTTACACCCGCTAATCACCCGTCCAAGGAGACCGTCTGTAAAAATGATCATGAAAATGAGAAATTAGCCTTGTGCTCCAAAGTGGGAGCAAGAAGTGAGAGAGAGAGAAAAAATACAATTGCAACCTGTGGTAGGGATACGCGACGAGAAATTACAACAAGAGATCATTAAAATGATCTGCGTATCGCTTTAAGTATAATTTTCACGAAGAAAATTTGTTGGACTAAATTTGTATTTCAGTTTAATGCATACTTCATGTTAATAATTTTAGGCTGTCTGCCACTTTGACTGTCGTGATATGTTGCTGTTGATAATATTCTTATCTTACTGCCACACGAAGCAGCTACGTCCTCTCTCGTATGTTACCACGCACATAATCTTCTGCTTCGGTAAAATGACCATATATATGCATGCATGTTAAGCCGTAATACGTCATTGCAATATCACTACCTACATTTGTTAGCGGTCGTTCATTACGCAGATATTAAGTGAACAAAGGGTTAATGAACACGTAAACACAACGTAGATGAATACGTTAACTTCTTGTTTGAGAACTTTACATAGGCCTACATTTGTCATAAACAATCTTAGTAAATCACAGTAAAATGAATTTGCTTCATTGTTATCTGCACGCTTGGGTTCAAATAATTGACGGATTTGTGTACAATGGAGTATATAAATTACAGAAAAAGAGGCTCATTCTGTGCAGCCGAACGTCCACTGGTTAGTTACACATAATTGACTTTGTGAGATGAAAATTTCATATATGGTGTCCTGCAAGTAGACCGCCATTATATGTATAATCAGGAACAGTAATTAATGTGAGCTTCTTCTTGAATAATATTAAAGTAACCATTTCTAAGAGATAATTGAGACAAGTAACGAGGCACGCAGTAGCGTAGTTGGTTGAGGCACTATGCTACAAGCCGGAAGGTCGCTGGTTCAATTCCCGGTTAAGTAAGCCGGAAGGTCGCTGGTTCAATTCCCGGTTAACTAATTTTTTTCAATTTACCTAATCCTTCCAGCCGCATTATGGCCCTGTGACTGACTCAGCATCTAATAGAAATTAGTACCATGGATTTTCCTGGAGGGTCAAAGGTGGTCAGCGCGTAGGGCTGAAAACCTTACCGCCATATGTGAGCTGACCATCTAGAAGATGTGGGAGCCTCGACGTCCCACAACCCTATGGGCCTCGACGGTCTGTTACCTTTACCGTGGCTGATAAAGATGAGAAATTCTTATAAAATATGCCGCATTAAATGAAGTTGGAGCAGATCAAATGTGGGAGTCAAGTAGACACTACTCACCCTTCTTGACTGTCGTCGGTTGTTCGGTGGTGGCTGCAGTTGCTGCTGAGGGGACGGTGGCTGTTGATGGCCCGGTAGCGCTTGGGGTGAACTAACTGGCAGCTTACGGAAGGAAAGCTTGAACTCCTCAATGGGGGTGTAACTGTTCACATTCCAGCTGATGTTGTACATGTCTCTGTACTTCCCCCGCGGGTCACTCACGAAGATGGCAGGATTGGGCCGCCCTGTAGACAAACATACCGGCCACATAAGTGTTCTGCGCGGTTCACGGCTGCAAATCCTGCCTAAGAAACGTTTCCAAAATCTAATCCGAGGAAACTGATATGGGCGTCATAATAGGTATACGTTTCTTCCTTGGAACTCTGGAACCTCATTTAATGTATTTAATCCCGACATTTCCTTGCAGCTCAAATGCGTCCCTATACTTTTGCGTAACTAACTACATGGACACAGCATTACTTTGTTTTTGGACTTCGTCTATCTTCCGGTATTTTAGAGACTAGAAAACACGACGTTTCGAAAACGTGATCTGTTTCTGCCCTCGGGTGAGGGCGGAAAACACCTACTCAGTTACATCCCTTAGAAAAGGCCGAACTCTTTAAAAACTCTGTCAGCTGTGGCCAAGCTAATTCGGCGGGCTATAACAAGAAAATATGCAATACAAATTGTGACAGAGCACGCACAAGCGTGGAACTAGGATAGAAAAGAAAGTAGACATTTGTGCTACAAACCTACTCAACAAAACCAAGTTCACGAACACCAATGCAAAGAAATGGGGGAAAAAGTGAAGACATATAGTATCTACCGCTAGAGCCATCTGTGGAGTAAAACCTGAACACTCAAGCCTGAAACCTTATGGAAACCCATGAAGAATCTGTCGCGTCATACAGATCTTCTCTGTGAGTTAGAAACCTCATTACTGTTGAGGGGGATCGAGATAGGAGAAATGTCCAAACTAGGGCGGCTCATTGGACTTCTTAAGCATGCCATATGAGCCGATTCCTTGCATTTCCTATACCTGCTGTCACTTTCAATTTCGAAAATTCTAGTATCATTCCAGCCTATGACCCTCTTCCCCCTTCGCCTGAGATCGGAAAAAGATTAAATTTTCGAAACGTCGTGTTTTATGGTCTCTAGAATATCGGACAATGTATAAAGTCCAGTAACTCAGTAATTATGAGTGTTACACATCATCGTCAGAACCCTTTAGAATCTACTTAACTACACGTAGCTGAGTACTTTTTGCACAGCTAACAGTTTCTGAGGCATTCACGGAAATTCCAGACCTCTTTCGAACCCGAAATTATATTGCCGTGCTCACAACTGCCAGCCAGTGGCCACTACCCTGAGCTACATGAATCCAGTCCACACCTTTCCTCTCTATTTCTTTCACGTTCACTGAATATTATCCTCCCATCTACGCCTAAGTCTTTTTCTTTCGACTTGGGCGTGTGCTGAAATATCTTTTCAGTGCTAGTATGAATTGAGCATTTTCATTCGTAAGGATCTTGCGACTAGATGGCAGATTGTTGAACATTTTGATGCCACTTTTCTGAAAACACGAGAGTCTGGCAAATTTATCTGAGAGGATGGGACTTGCTCACTGAATTAACACTGTGTGCAGCTGAATTCGCCTGAACGTGCTCTTGGTTATTTAAATGAAGTTCGTTAATGAAAATATACATTCACATGGAAGAGTTATGATCTCTAATCTCTTAATTAGACCCGTAGATGAATTTCTAGGTTCGATACTCGCAATCATCTTGTGTTCTTCTGTTATATTCTGTTTAATGAACTGCAACAGAGAATTATTCCGTGCCTCACTATAGAGAGAAACTGGCAAAAAAAATGATTTGTGTGTCTCAGTGCTGCTGATATTAATACAGATCTAACGAATCCTCTAAATACGGTGAAATATGTATATTTGATGGAGTACTCCTAATATGAATTCAAAACACCCTCTAATGATAAATTATGTAATCCATGTCCTGTGACAACACAATAGGACGCTCTAGCAATGCAGAATTAAAGAACTCAACATAAACTTTACGTTTACATTTCGTGGTTTTTTCTTCGCTCTAAAACTTTGGTTGCTTGCTTTTGCACAACACACTTTTATCCCGGTAAAATTGTATCGTGAGTTCAATATGCCCATTTGGCCTCAGTTTTTACTCATCTGCTACTGATCAACGGGCCCGGTGAAACAATTTATTGAACCACTTTTTTCTTTTTTCTTGGCACTACAGCCCAATTGGGCCTAGGCCTACCTCCTTGAACTTCTCCGTTCACTTCGGTTCTTCTAGATCTTACACATCCGGTAGGACTCCTTGGGCGGGTGATCAGCTCGTCGCAAGGCCTCAACAATGAACCACTTACCATTATCAAATATTCTGCCAATTTCTATACCACCATAAATATATATTTTATTGCAGAATTTACAGCTTTAAGGCGGCAGAATTGTATACTGATGGTATTCGTTTCATTTATAGGTCAGGTTGTCTGTCATTGGGATCGAGTTTTGTAGTTTCTCTCAGCCTAACCAGGCGGGAAATGTGCCACGGTGGTCTTCTGTATCATTACCTGATCATGATTAACGGCTCATTTCACTCGACAGTTTATACGCTCTGCAGTCAGAGCAGAAAAGCAGGGGTTTACGATTTTTACGGCTGGGGTTACTGAAAATGATGTTTTAGAAAAGTCTTTATGGGGACATGCTAACCATTTATATCTTCAGTACTGGTATTATTTTCTTTAGGATGTATGATTACTAATGGAAATGTTCTTTCAAATTCATCGGCGAATATTTTTTAACATTTTCATCCACATTCCTTTTGGCCTGTATCCCTTTCATATTTCCATCCCGTGCCCTATTTTCTCCCTTCAGATACGTAAGTTACATCTTCATCCTTCAGTTGGCACAGATTCCAAAATAGCGATGCGTAGGCAGCGGAAACTACCAAGGAATGAGAACGACATAACATACACAGATTAACAGTACGCATAAATAATCTTATATAATACATCTTATACTATCTATTATATAAACATAATGGTATAAACATAATGTATACCATAATTTATATACGCGTGTAGTACCTTCGCGAGAAGGAACATGCGTTGCTTGGTAGCGGCTCGGTAGACACGTAAACAATATCCAAGCTATTGCTAGGCAACCGTCAATAACAACAAGAGAGGGATTGTTGGAGGCGGTGTTTACTGTTGGGTCCGCCCCGAGGATACATAGAGAGGGCCCAAGCCCGTCCGAGGGCAGTTCATTTAAATGAAGGGAAATGAAGCAGCAGGTTCGTGAATGAGTGAGTTCAGTTGAGGGTTGGCAGTAAAGTCCTGAAAGGGGAGCTAGATGATATGGCGCTACAGTTGAGTTGACAGTCGACAAGTGTTCAGTTGCGGGATATTCGCTTAACAGTAACGACGCGAGTGCAGGAAGCTGAAAACTCTTCACTGTTAGAAGCTGTTGTTAGGGAACGACTGTCGACGGCACAGCAGGCTAAACAAAGGCTTAGCGGGTGCTGTGGTGATTTGTAAGGTGTGAAGATTAGCAGTAGCGCTATAATTACTTATGGTTCCGAGTGGTGTACATAAGAGGCCAATAAATCCATTCACCAATCCATACTTCGTCTCCAGTCACACAAATACACGTGACAATATTCCAGGTATCTGAAGGACAACAATATTAGAATGCTGACAGTCGCCTTCTTCGTTAAGAAATTCCCAGCCTTTTATGTGTCCAGACATTTCATTCCAGCATTCTAAAGATTCGATTACTGGGCATTATTTTCAACCAGCTGAATCCAACCCACAAATTTCTGACCCTAGTTGTTTTTTGTTAAAATTCTGCATGACTTTCTCGTTTATGCCATGCGCTCTACATATCCTGCCCACCGTACTCTCTTTCAATTGATCATAAACTAGTAACGTTAGGTTAAATGCACAAAGTTCACTTTGCGGGGTACTGCCATAGGGTCGGTTAACACATGATGATGATGATGATGATGATATGGCGAAGTATGTCAGCTCACTGAACAACTCATAAAAATTGAATTGTATAAGACCGCATGAAGTTAATATAGTATGATTAGTAGAGCACAGATTTTCACTGATAAGGGAACCCACTACAGGTAAGTCCTATATGAGGGAGAAACACTGGCATGGAGAGTTTGTTATTGAAAGAGGAGCGGTCCATCTTTAGCTTTAGTAGAACTGATACGGAGGCAGAAAATCTTCTGTTACACAGAAAATAAAGGCCAGAATTGTGTTACTGAAATCAAAGCAAACCCTGGAAGTGAGAAAATGATAGATGATGAATAATGAATATAAAAAGAGGGAGAAATTAAATACAAAAAGAGATGAAAGTAGACTACAGACTGAAAAGTTCAGCTCAGATACAACTGTGACTTCAGTGTTCCTCACTCCTAGCGCCTTCATCCCCTCCCCTTTCTTGTTTCCATAAATAACTTGAGATAAATTGATTTCTTGTTTATCTTCTTTCAGCGTACATCAACATGGAAATTAAGTTCGTATAGTCGAATCTCTCTCTCTCCCCCCATCGGTACAAATTACAGAATATGTTAATAAATTATAAAATTCTACGAAAGTTTTTCTTTTCCTATTCGCCAGTCATTCCTTCTCCTCTTTTTCACTTCGCAGATTTTTCAGAATATACAGAAATTTGATCAATGGAAGAGAACTCCATAATTTGATACCTGTCTTTTTATTTCTACTTTCTCTATGGCATGAATCATGTTGATCTAACTCCTAAATCAGTGTGCCAACTTCCAGAGGAATTTGTGTCGAGCGCTGCTCCAGGCAGCCGTAATAAATTACGACTTTACTTACTTTTCTACCCCAATATCTTCCCACACATCCTGCGTAAAAGTGTGCCAGCTAAGTCCGCATTAGTGTAATTGACTCTTCCAAAAATACTGTCAATAAATAAACAAAAGTAATAAGATTTGTATCTTCATTCGCATGTTTGTCATCCTGTTGCGTATGTCACTAGTACGCAAATTTGGCCATCAATCGGAGAAACTTCGTAAGTTCAATATATAACTGATAAATTGTCGATAATTAAATTTAGTTTATTCAAATATTCCTTTACGACTATAATCAAGCGTTTATAAACAACAAAATATATCCACGTTCATTACTAACCTGCATGACACAATGGATCCATTGCTAACAGTCTTGCATATATTAAATATTTATATATAAAAAGTTCTTACATAAGATTACGATGTTTAAATGTAATAAAATACTTGTCGAACATTATCAAGGCCCTACATGGGGCTGTAGAGCCATAGTAATAATAATATTAATAATTATAATAATGTATATATGTACATTCTTAGTGTTTGTATATATATAATGTGTCTACGCATGTACGTGTACGTATATGTTCATTCGTGTTTCTTGTCCAATTCAATTCTTTATTATTTATGTGGCGAGTCAACAGCCGCAAGGCCAATTACAGACAGAGCACAGTGCAGATACAGGTAATTACGTTATGGACAAATACAACTTAAAGACAAAGACAAATTACAGGCAAGCACTGGTGGAAAAACACATTGCTGTAGAACAACAAAAACTGAAGTAATAATAATAATTTAATTCAATTATTTACTATTTATGTGCCGCGTGACACTATATATAATACTAATATTAGTTAGTTTCGCAATAATTTTGTTTATCCGAATATTTTATTTCATGTCTGCATTGTGTAGCGATGAGTTCCCCCCAAATTCCGACAGCCGTATAGTAGTGTACTTGCCTGACAGTTCCAGTCTCTGACGGGTCTTTCCGATCTGGTTATCCGCCATGCACGTGTAGTTGGAGAAGTCTGAAGCCTGTACTTTGCGAATGATAAGCGTGTGCCGGCTGCCTCGAGACTCCATGATGCGCCTCTCCGTGGTGTCCAGTCGCATGGTGTCCCGGTACCACAGAACCTGCAGTTACAACACTCCATGTTGTTATCGTTGCTATTATCAGTGACATAAACCTTTATATGATGCCTGCACTCACAAGGTGGTACGTATTACGTGCTGGATAAATATGGACATACAAAAGGAGTCGGCGGAGAACGAGGAGGGAGGAGGGAAAATCTAAATTAAAAAATAAGGAAACCGACAAAATATTGTGCTAAACATTAAAAAGCAAGAGATTATTCTTTTATCCTTAACAGTGGCGGCTCGTAGCTAAAATTAGTGGGGGTGCTGCTCCAGAAGCGCACAGTTCCATACAAAGATTTGGCTATTGACATTAAGCTTAAGGATTATATATTGTATTGTACAAGTACAAAGAAAGAATTAAAGAAAAAAGGACTCACTATATAAATGTTATCGATAATATCAAGTGGAAATTGGGGGGGCTGCAGTTCCGCAGTGCGTATACACGGGCCGCCCCTGATCCCTAATATTCAAAAGTGATAAAACAAACAAACTTACGTGCTTCAAATTTGTGTTTGTAAGCAAATTTCTGGCTCGCCTCCTCCCTTTGAAATAATCCTGGTGTCACCCGTGCGGACTAACACTAAATTAGCTGACAATTTGTAATGCTGCCTTCAATATAAAATTTCAATACAAATCCACGGTGGAATTTTGGGAATGAAACAACTCAGCACCACCCACAGTCGCTGTTCTGTCTCGCTGAATGCTGGCGACAAANCAAAGTTGATGTTGATTTCCTGCGACCGTTTCACATCTATCAATGATCTGTTACATACGTATTTCACGGCTCTCAGCTTCTGACGGCTTCGACCACGGATATTTCATCATAATTATACTGCAAAAAAGAAAAATGGTTCAAAATTCACTGACTCTTTTCATCACACTTTATTCAAAGAATCCTTCTCAAATGCGCAGATAGACCGTGCCCTAGCTCAGGCGGTTAGTCGCCGGCTTCCCACCGCAGGNGTTGCCGGCTTCCATTCGCGGCGACCAGGTTTCGATTCCAGGTCAAGTCAGGTGGGATTTGTGGTGGAAGAAGTGGCACTAGGGCAGGTTTCCTCCTAGTATTTCAGTTTCCCCTGCAAATTCTCATTCCACCAAAATGCACCATACCCATCTATCATCCTGGGTTGATACAATAGACCAGTTAGTGGCCGACGTACCAAGTAGACTCAGTTTCCCCCCACCCAAAGAACCCCCCCCCCAATAAAAAAACTATCTAAAGTCTGAAAATAGTGTCTGAAGTCAGACTCTGCACTTCCTACCCTTCGTCACTCCCCTGTCGTTCTTACTGATTCCTTCCCCCCGTCAGTCACTTCCTATTTGCACTGACTGGCTGAATTTAAGAATCTTCTTCCAAAAAGGTACATAACCTTCTTGTCCAGAAGCTACGCCTTCGATGTTGCAGGGCCGAAACCAGCAACTGTCCCAATCATAACAGGGCTCCTGATACTAGGCTGTGACTTCATTAAACATTTCACTAAATTATTGGGAGTGGCGAAGAAACGTGGCAACCATTTTACAAAGACATTTGGTCCTACAAAATATATAATTTAGAATGTGGCGGTATAGTTTTTAAAGACTTCACAATTAAGCATTTCTCTTCATCATTTTTTCGGATTCTATTATTTCCAGTAAGTGTAAAAATGGCTTTTAATAGACGAACGTAAGTTATATTCGGGAGGACACCCTGAACTGTAATTAATTTTAAGTAAATTAGGTCTAGGATGTAATGATTATAATAGGGAAACAAAATTGCCCTATTATGCGTTAGGAGCTGGGATATCGTAGTCGGTATAGCGACTGGCTACGGGCTGGACGACCGAGGGGTCGGAGTTCGAGTTCCGGAAGGGTCAAGAATTTTCTCTTTTTCACGTCGTCCAGATAGGCTCTGAGGCCCACCCAGCCTCCTATCCTATGGGTACCGAGTAAAGCGGCAGGAACGTGAAGCTGACCACTCACTTTCAATTAATATCGAGGTCAAGAACATTTATATTTATACCACTCTCCCATACACCTTCATGGCTTAATGCTTAATTAGGTAAGTACAGGGACAACTTTACCTTATGCATTAGTTCAATGCTCTTGTGGAATGAAGCCACATAGGCCTAAACTTCTAGAACTTTTTTCTACTTGGGTTTGTTGCTTCAACTGTAAAGTGATATTTCTTTCCAGTATGCTCGTCTATCAGACATTTCAAAATTAACTATAATTTTGCAACTTTAAAGGTTTAATTGAACCTTAACATATTCTATGTGCACAACTGCTCCTGCAAAAATCTTAAGTCATACCTTAATGCAGAGAAGCAGGTTCACAAAGTCTGCTCTTAATTTTTCATACTATAGATATAAGAATTGAAAAATACAAACAATTTATCAATAAATGAATTATATGGTCTATTACTTACGATCACAGTGGCTGCGCGGTCTAAATCAGTGTTTCTTAATCGCCGGTCCGCGGCCCGGTACTGGGCCCTAGCATCAATTATACCGGACCCTCGTCGTATAGAAAATAGAATTTACCGGGCCACGGTCTCACAAAAGTCGAGAACCACTGGTCTAAAGCATGAACTGCCTTTGCTTGCTCGAACGCTGCGATCATGGGTTCGAATCCCACTCAAGGCATTGATGTCTGTGCGTTTATTCTGTGTTTGCGTTGTTCTGTGTGTATTTAGTGGCTTTGCGAAGGGCTGATGCCCCGTCCAAGGAGTCCTACCGTCTTTGTAAAAAAATATTTTGAAACTTAACAAGAGGTCAGGGCCCAATAAAGGGCTTTAGAGCCACTGACAAATAAAAATGGTTTCTTACCAGGATTCGTAAATAATTACGTGTACACCACAACTAAACAGGAAAAAATGTGAATATATTTGATAGATCTTAAGAGGGTTTTAAAGGGTTCTGACTCAGAATCACTGGGTTTTTTTACTCTACCCATCGTCCTGTATTCTAGAAACTAGAAAACACAGCGTTTCGGAAACTGCATCTGTTTTCGTTTTCAGGTGAGGGAGGAGTGGATGACACCTACTCCTCTGGGTCCCTAAGAAAGAGCTAACCTCAGTCACTGGATACATGATTTTCCTTTCATTTATTACGACGTCTGGAATAATATCTGCATACAAAGTTAGTTCTCATTTTTCGAGATATTCATAAGTGAGGAAGGTGCAGAATCTAGCGTTGAGGGGAGCGCATGTCGGCGTCTCTCCGTGTCTACCGAATCAGTAATTTTTGGAAGCTCAAGGAATAGGCAAAACACGATCAAGCTCCGAGGAAATGAAGCGAAAAGGCGAATAAAGGGAGTTAAAAGCAAGGAGGAAGAAACCAATAAAAATAAGAAGACGTGGATGGAGTGTGAGTTTAAAAAAGGGAGGAGGGAGGGGTAGAAATACAGACGCCAGTAGGAACAAGAAAGGGTGTAAAAATAATGCAAAGGAAAGTCAGAAGGACTGCTACCTATGTAGAGGTGCATATAAGAAAGAAGATAAGGAAGAATGTTAGTTGCAAAAATGGTATATATGTGTCAGAGTATTTTAAGTAGGAAAGTTAAGACATATAAGGAAGTAGAACCGCTTAAATTTGAATCACCACCACATTCAGTGGCTATTGCCATTTAGAGTAACGAAGCAGAGAAGTAAAATACAGTAGAGTGAAGTTCATTCGCCTTATATTGAGGGGAGAGGAAATGATTCGGCCACTTGCGAAAGCTCCTAAATGGTTTCTGCTAGATTCACAGGAAATGAAGGCAACGCTTAGAAAGCGGAGTATCTGAAAATGGAAGAAAAATAAATTCAAGAATATTATGAATGTCTTTGGGTATATCTTGCATAGGGAACACTGCGTTCGCGGAGACAGAAGCAGTTCCAGCCAGAAACCAGAATTTCCTATAGATAAATAACGAGTTACTGCAAGCTATAAATAAATATGTACATAGGCATTTTTACTGTGTCGTATGATCCTGTCTGTGAGTTTATATACATATATCCGGAACCCTTCGCGTAACATTTGCCGTTATCAACGTTGCAGTCGCTGAGTGCGGGACCTGAGTATGATTGTTTCTGCTGCGGTGGCTGATGTTCACTTCCAAAAACGATGCTGTTTGGATGTTGAGTAGTCTATGCATTACAACCTAGCGATTTTGCTTTGCATCTTAGCTAGTGCCAACATTTTTGACACAGCATGTTAAGATTTCCAACTGCACAGCTATAACAATAATAATAATAAAATAATTTTTTGTATTTACGTCCTTAATCGACAACCCAAAAATAAAAATAAAGCAGGAGCAAAAGGATGAAACAAAACAAAACATATACACACAAACAAAAGAAATATCAGAGAAAATTGTATCATTTGAATAATAATAAACATTCAATACACGCAGTCATGCCAACAATTATGCGATGGGTGAAAAAATATATTCCTACATATAATCACATTGAATACAATTAATATTTTTAAATTTATGAAAGACGATAACAGTAACCATAATAATGATGACGACAACTGAAATTTTTTAATTTATTTATTTGTTTATTTATGTGCTTACTGAAGAGCCCAAAGACCAATTACGAAGTAAGCACAAGTACCGAGAGGATCAAAAGTATCACAAACAAACAATCAAGTCAACTTGTATCACTTAGAGAAATAGATGAAGATGATGATTAAGAATTTTGTAAAGTCCTGATAATTAGTGTATCGACCATTAAAGGAATCTTTCCTACACCAAGTCTGAGGTCGGAGGAATGTGCAGATCCGTCAGAGATCTGTAGTTCAGATCCCGAAACCGCGAAATAAGAACCTAAAATTCGCAAATATAAGACTCCTAGACGGAAAGTTAATCAAGGATAAATGTAAGCACTGAAATGACTACCGAAACTAGGTTTCCGCCGCATCACGATTCTGGGAACACACATGAGAAGAGCTCGGAGATATCACAGAAAGTGTCGGCCTATAGACGCAGGCAGCTGTACAGAGGCTGAGAACTGACTTACAGGGACTTTGGATAAT